GTTTAGGGCCTCTATACAAGGCTACTACAATAAGCTTTAGGATTCCTGTAAGAGGTGTCGAATACAGAAGTACTATGACAACGATAGAGGTTATTTTGTTATTTTGGGGGTTTACTACAAGGGCTTATGGGCTCACAGGGTTTTGGGTCTTGGAGGCCTCCTCCAATGCCGGTCTGTCGGGGTTTAGGGTTCCTTTGCGGGATTTATATGGTCTTCTGTAAGGGAACTATACTGTGGGGGTGTCGGGGCTTAGGGGTTAGAGGGGTTCTATAACGGCCTTGTGCGGGCCTTATAAGCGCTACGAGATCCACAAGAGCTACCACAAGGGCTCTTGCAAGGTGTACTAGCATGGCTTCGGGTTCAGGGGTTTAGGGGGGTTTTGAAGGTTAAGGGTCTAGGGTAGGATCAACAAAAACCAGCATCGTCATCATAGGTTAAAGTCTACTACAGGAGTGTAAGGGGAAAAGCCCGGAGTGGTTTTCAAGCGATTGTACACGATCTTGCAAGAAGCCATTAAGGGATGCCACAACTTGTTCTTCAGGCCAAGGAGGGTGCAGCATCTGTCGGGGTCTCGTGTTCTGATTGGTATGATGATGATTATTCTTAGTGTTGCCATGATTATTATGTTACCGTGGCTATGCATGGTGATAGTAGTATTCGTGTTGGTATTAGTTAGAAATTCTTACAACTCTTGTTATTACCATTGTGTTTTGCCTTAGTGGTGCCCTTAGGACTGTGGTTTGTTAGCTGCGATTGCCAAACAACACACTGAAGATCGCCCGCCCCCCCCCCCCCACAGTGCTTGAAACGTATTTGTTGTACGTAAATGCTAGTGACCTCAAAGACCCTATAGAAATAGAAACCCTATGAGACCTAGACGTATATAACCCGTGTCCGAAATAGCTTAGGTACCGCAAAGCCCCAGACCCTACAAAGCCCACAAGGCCTAGGCCCTGGAATCCTAATTGCCCCAGAGTCCCGGGTTTACGGTTTAGGGTTTAGAGCCCCAGCAGCGTCCACTTGTGCTTCAGCTGGAGACCACCCGCAGCCGCTATGGAACTGATTCGGCTTCCCCAATGCTCGGCCACTCGGGACCTGTTCAACTTCGTGCTTTCTGCAAGCTTATGGGGTTCAGTGCTTGGGTTTAATATAGGAGCCCTCATAATTAGAATGCGGTTTGGGGGTATGTTATACTATAACTATTTTGAGGAACCCCAAAACCCTATTCTATTTATTCAGGCCCCTACATTAGGCGCTGAGGCCGAAATCCGAAACCTCAACCCTCCCCGAAGTTTCGCCCCATAGGATAGGATGTCAGTGGCCCTAGTGTGTTGAATAGGGCTTCTAGGGTTCATATGTCGTGGTATAACTAACTTTCATGTCGGGACTATATATAAGGGGTATTAGTCAATTAGTAGTAATGATGCAGAAACATCTACAGAAGTATCCTAAGCTGTCTGCAGGAGAAACCCGGCGGCTTCCTGGGAGTCTCGCAAAGTTCCTACGTCACAGCTCTTATTCAGGACTTTCTCATCCTCAGGGCTCCGGGGACTCCATCAGAATCCTTGATTCCCAAACATGTGCTGCGATTCCTTTAGCATCAAAATAGCCCAAAGCCTCATAGAATAAGGACTTTGGGTCCAAAAGCCTTAACATATGAGTCCTTTGAGGGTAAGGGATTCACTCCGCTGTTTTGTATCATGCCGCCGTTTTCCGTTGCCCGCTAGCATGATGCATGAATCCCTACTTTTAGTGCAGACGTCCAGTCAGAGCTGCTTTCACGCCTTGAAGCAACCCAGCCCTCCCTTCAACCCAGAGAACCCAAGACCCCTTACTGTAAATAAGGAATAGACCCCTAAAATATAGATGCCTTAACTTAAAATTACCTGACTTCAGGTCTATATGCCTTAATTTCAGGGGGTTGTTGAGCTCTCCAGGCTAAACCCTAAACCCTAAACCCTAAACTTCAAGGGCCTCAGATCTCCAATGGTCCACTGCAGGTCGGATACGATGCAGACGGATTGGCCACTCAGCAGCGCGACATGAATTGAGATGCTGGCTTGCATCTTGGGCTATGGACAAAAAAGCTCCGGACTGGCCCCGGAGCAAATTTCAAATCAGAGAAGCTCAGGCAAAAACGCTCATTGATAAACGGTATGATGGCTTGAATTCCGATCTTATAACTGGCTCTAACTTCTATTTCTCAACCTCCACCCCAGGCATAGGCTTTTGCGGGACTATTCGTACCAGGTTGACTTACACAGTTACTACTACCTTACGAAAATCACGACTGTTGCCGTTAGCTGGTGCAGGAAGCCGCCCTAAAACAGGCGGCTACTTGGAGGCCCAGGGGACTTAGTAAGTAGGTGATAAGTAGAGTTATAAGTACCCTAAATGGAGTTACCCTAGTTATAACCTTACTTATAACCGACTTACTAAGTCCCCTGGGCCTCTAAGTAGGGGGATTCAGCGACGACTGTGGCTTTTGCCAGTTGCGCCGCATCCCCCGAATTAAGCTGCTGGAGCCCAGTGCGGGTTTGAGGTTTAGGGTTTAGGGTTTAGGGTTGATTGTATCGCCAAGCGGAAGCGCTACAGCTACGTCAGTATTCCTGAGGCACTCGAATCAGGAACAACAACTGCAACAAATGAACAACAACATCAAACAGGGTGCAGTAACCCCCCACTTCCAACAGAGAATCTGCAAAGCCACGCTACTATTGAACAGAAGGAGGTGGGCAGTTACGACATTCATACAATTTTCTTCTAGCGTCACTCTACGAGATGACCGCTTCGCTCTGCGCCATAGGTTCATGGGGCACAGCTAGATTCGAAACACGATATACTGTTGCAATTGAACTAGCACTTCCGAAGATGATTCAAGCCAACGGCGATGTACGCATGAGTGCAGGGGCAAATTTATCCATCTGTTGATCGTACAGGTAATCGGGGTCTTACATGCCGAACCCTACGACACTACACCACACTCTATAGTTACCTTACACCCTAAACCATAAACACTACGCCACACTCTATAATTACCTTATGCCGAAGATGATTCTTTGAGACTCTCACACCCAAACGACAAACAACCGCACTTCCCAGGCCCCTCCTGGACCGCAAATAACCTACCTTTTCAGGGTTCCTTATTATAGTTTCTTTATATAACTCCTTAAACAGGCAATTATAGTGCTTAAAAATGTAATTGTTATTTTTCTATAAGTCCTTAAGAAGGTACTTCTAGCTTCTTTATATATGCCCTTAAAAAGGCAGGTTCTTTGGGATTTGTTGGAGCTCTTAAGGCCCCTCACCCTGAGCCGGCCACAGCCCAAAACCTCCGAACTCGCCCCCCCAAAAAAACGAAGGCACAAGGTTGAGGGTTTAGGGTTTAGGGTTTAGGGTTTAGGGTTTAGGGACAGACCCTGAAGAACCTACCAGTAAAGCCTACAACAAAAAAACCTAAAGCCTTAAGGTAGGGGCCTTCATGATTAGAATAGAGTTTCGGGGCCCACTATACTATAATCATAAGGGACGCCCCAAAAATAAGTAAGGGCAATTATTTACCTGTAGCAAACCCTTAAACCACTTACCGAAAAGCCCAAATCTCTGCAAAACGGCTCTGAGCCACCAGGCCTTCCCATCTGAAACCCAGGATCCTCTCCGACCTGCGCACGTTTTGGGATTCAAGGTTCAGGGTTTAGGGTTCATTGGTTAGGGCTTAGGGCCGGCTTAGGGTTTAGGATTCAAGGTTCAGGGGTTCGGGTTTAGGGTTTAGGGTTCAGGGGTTCGGGTTTAGGGTTCAAGGTTTAGGGTTCAGGGGCTGGGGTTTAAGGTTTAGGGTTTCTTGGGGTCGTACTGCTTGTGATCTTCAACTATTGTACTTAGGTACACTATCTGGCGAGACTTCCAAATGGTTCGGGGCATGCCTGGGCCCTTGATTGTTTTGTTTAAACTCGATTTCGGCTTCATGGGTTTGAGATTTGTTGTGTTTTTTTTATATATTTTTGTTTGTATGAGTTTACCTGTAGTCTCCATTGTAGTTCCTTTTTTAAGTTTAGCCCATGATACATATTAAGGATTCCAGAAGGGCCGCTCCAAAAAGGGAACTACAATGGAGACTATAATGTACGGGCCTTGATAATTAAAATAGGGTTTTGGGGGCTCCTTATTATTAATATAGTAGAGTCTACTCAAAACCCTACTGAAACCCGAAACCCGAAACCCTAAACCCTAAACCCTACTGAAATTATTAAGGCCCCTAGAGTGGGTAGAGCCCAGGGCTGAGGGTTCGAGGACTGGCGGGGGCTCTAAGGTGGGGCTTTAATAATTGGAAATAGGGTTTTGGGGTATGGTAGACTACATTCTAATTAAGGAACCCCCCAAAAGAGTCTTGGCAATTATTCAGCCCCTATATTACAGGGGGCGGGGCTTTTGGGCTTCAGGGCTTGGGGGTTTTAGGGTTTGCGGCGTTAGCCTGAGAAGTGAATGAACCAAAATCCGGTAATTAAGGTGAAATGATGTGACGAAAGGGTCAATTCGGTTCCCTGCTTAAACGAAGCGAAGCATACAGGAACGAAGTCATACTGACCGATACGTGCTGTTATATATCTGAAAGGTAGTGAACGAGTATAGTGAGCATAAAGAGAGAGGGCGCAACGTTTGGGGGAGTTTCAGATAATAGGTGTACCTTGCTAACTTTGCGCCAGATGCACATCATGTGAAGGATCTTGTGAGACAGAAAACACCCGCCCGAAGCTCGAAACCCATGGAATCCCCGGAGCTGCACCAGGAGAGCCAATGCCCCAAATTCTGGGAATTGATGCTTGTCAACCCTGGGAGCTAGGATTAGGGGGACCCTTGGGGATATAGACCCCCTCAATAAGGTCCCTTTCAAGAGAGCCAAAAGTAGGGTTCAGAAGGGGTACCCTTCAAGGGGAACCCCTACTAATACTACCTAAACCCTCAACCTTGAAGGCTGGGCATTTAGGGTGTGGAGGGCTTGCCTCGATCTTGCCGACAGACCCGAGACCGACGCTGAAGCGCCTGTAGTAGCGGTGGTAATAGTAGTGGTAGTAGTAGTGGTAGTAGTAGTAGTAGTAGTAGTAGTAGTAGTAGCAGCAGTAGCAGTAGTAGTAGTAGTAGTAGTAGTAGTAGTAGTAGCACTAGCCGTCGTCGTCGTGATGATACCGATAACAATAAGAATGACAACACTGCTAGTATGAATGAAAGCTGTTTGTGCTAGCATGTGGGTCTGGGACTCACCCATTCCTGCAGGGACTGTAAAGAAGTTGTTTGTTGCTATTGCCACCAAGCTCTCTTGGGGGTGATGGCACATCTTAGAATCCCAAGTATAACCTTCGTCTTGTATATGAGAAAAACCATTGCGAAAATACGGTATTTATCGTGCTCAGGGACGACGCAGAGATTTGAGGATGTGGTATCAGGCCTTGCGACTTAAATCCGAATTCGGACACGAGCTGTGCTTTCATTCAAGATGTTGGCCCTGAGCCCGGAACCCTCTTTCAGAATCGCAAAGCCGGGGTGTTATTCTGGGCTTTGAAGTAACCAGGGAGAAAAAAGTATAGACTTTTATTTCATAATGGTTCCTTTAAGGAACAGGTCCCAACAAAAAGTATTAAAGTATGCCACTCCAAAGCCCAGTATTAGGGTCCAAGAGCCCTGGACCTAAAACCCTGCAAACAACCTCAGGATATATGCTAACTTAAAATAGCCCAGAAGTTCAAAAGGCGCAACCCTTAAAGTTCTTACACCGGCTAGGAAGTAGTGTAGGGGCCTTAATCATTAGAATAAGGTTTTTGGG